CAGTGTAGGAGCTAACGCGCCTACAATATGAAGGTTCGCAGCAGTCAGCGGATTCTAGCCAATCATGACCTCGAAGGGAGAGAGCTCGGTGGAGGAATGACTTGTTGAGTTGTAAGCAAGTTCCAGGACCGGGAGCAAACGCTCCCACTCGCGTTCGTCAGATTGCATGTAGGTACGAAGCATCTGCTCCATTGTACGGCTAATCCATTCGGTTTGACCGTTGCTTTGCGGATGGCAGGACGAGGGCATGCGCCGTTTGATGTTAAAGCGGCTACAGAGTTGTTGCCAGAGATCCGACTGGAAGCGGAGGTGGCGGTCCGATATGAGTACCTCTGGAAATCCGTGGTAGCGGATGAGACGGTCCGCGAGAAGCTCTACGCTGCCTGCTGCTGTGAATGACTTCTTTGCAGGAACGAAATGAACCATCTTGCTCAGCTGAGGGAGTCGACCATCACGAGAATCAAGTCGTGCCCTGTCGTTGTGAGGGGAAGATCTGTGATAAAGTCAAGACTCACGTGTGCCCATCGACGCGAAGGGATGAGTAGCTGTTGAAGAAGGCCTGCAGGTTTCAGGTTAAGGGACTTTGACGCTCGACAGTGAGTGCATGATTCAACATAAGCAGTAGTGTAGGCGCGCAGTAGTAGTGCTTGCTGAGAGCCCCAAAGGTCTTTTTCTGGCCACGATGGCCGGCTGTGACATGGTCGTAATGTGAATGCAGAACTTGAGTAAGGAACTCAGGGAATGGTGGGACGCAGAGGCGCCACAGTCCATGAACGCGGATGTGCAGGTAAGACTGCACGTAACGAAAGGTGAATTGGCGATTACGAAGCTCTATCTGCAGAGCTTCTCCCGGTTGGTTTGCTGCGGCTTTGTAGGGAGCGCGAAAAGCGGGACACTTCGAGTAAGCGTGCGGCCATTTGCGCACATCAGGAGGGTCAGCTGGTGTCTTCGTTGTAGGGGTAGGGTGTGCCACTTCTAGAATGGGTTCCGGCGGCGAAGGCGAAAGTACAGACGGCATGCTGCATCGTCTGGGTCGTAGCGAACGAATTCCAGCGAGACCCTGTAGTTGGCAGACCGACCACGAGTGCGAGGAGCTGCACTCGCTTGTTTTACTGCAAGCATCAGGGGTGCTGATGGTGTGTCATGCGAGCAGGTGTTAGAAAGACCGGGACGGCGAGAGAAGGCATCAGCCACTTGGTTGCGCGCTCCTTCAACATAGGTGATGTGCAAATCCGGGAACTCGGCGGGCCACCCGCTGCTGCTGCTGCAGGTGCTGCAGCAGTAGCAGCAGCAGGTGGCCGCCTACAAGCCCGTCGAGGACCCCCGCATCAAGGGGAACTCTTTTTCGACTCTCTTCGTCGGGAAGCTCAGCTACGAAACTTCGGAAAAGAAACTCCGCCGTGAGCTGGAAGCCTACGGGACCGTCCGCCGCGTCCGCGTCGTCCTCGACACCGCCGGCCGCGCCCGCGGCTGCGCCTTCGTCGAGTTCGAGCGCGATAGAGACATGAAAGAAGCTTACAAGAAAGCAGATGGCACAAAAATAGACGGAAAAAGAATTCTAGTTGACGTCAAAACGGCCCGCACTGTGTCCGGCTGGCTGCCCGGATAGGGGAAAGGATCGGGCAAGAGCGTGGGGGCGTTGAGGCGGCGAAGATGGCGGCGATCGGGATACCGCCGCACATCCTGGCTCTTTTTCAAGCGCGGAAGCCGCTGGAGCCGTTTCCGGCCTTCAAATCGAAGCACCTGCGGCCCTACGTTTTAGTGTCCCGTTTTTCGTGCTCCCTACAAAGAAATCACATTGCGTCAACACCATTTGCGGACATCGCAATGCTTCATGCGAGCAGGTGTCAGAGCACTGGGCAGAAATCACATTGCGTCAACACCGTTTGCGGCCATCGCAGGTGTCAGAGCACTGGGCAGAAATCACATTGAGGCAAAACCGTTTGCGGCCATCGCAATGCTTCATACGAGCAGGTGTTAGAAAGACCAGGACGGCGAGACAAGACATCAGCCACTTGATTGCGCGCTCCTTGAACATAGGTGAGAGGGGTTCATGGCTTGGCTGAGAAAGCCCACGGGCTTGCCGTCCTGTTCCAGAACTGCTCCGATCGCATAACCAGAGGCGTCCGTGTTTAACTCGAAGGATTTCGTGGTGTCAGGGACTTGTAATGTAATGAAATCGATTAATTGCTGTTTGAGCTACCGCACCGCTTGCTTGTGAAGTTCTGTCCAATTCACACTAACGTCTTTACGCGTAAGATCAACTAGCGGCCGAGCGACGTCGGCATAATCAGGTCCCATGAACATACGGTAGTAATTTATGGTACCGAGGAACTGGCAGATCTGCGTGTCATTCTCCAGCACCTCGGGCCAATGCCGTATGGCTTCGATTTTGTCTTCTGCAGGTTTGATCCTCAAAGCAGAAATGGTAAAACCCATATATATATTTGTTTGCCATGCAAACTTGCATTTGCGGAATTTTGGGTAGAGTTGATATCTAAGAAAAATACTTAGGAATTATCGCAGGAGGGAAACGTGTCCAGAGATGTCGAAACTATAAATAAGTACATTATCTAGGTACGCAAAAACACTCTGTCCTAATAAAGGCTGTAGATAGGCATTAATGTTGGCCTGAAACGTATCTGGAGCACCCTTAAGGCCAAAGAGCATAACTCGATATTCAAATAGCCCTAGAACGGAACGGAAAACCGTCTTCCAACAGTCTTCCTTAGCCATACGTATTTGATGGAGTCCTGCTTCAAGGTCCAAAGTGGAAAAATACTTGGCGCCTCCTAGAATCTCCAGAATGGTTTGAATGGGAGGTAGTGGAAAATCTGGGGCTATCGTAAGGGCATTTAGAGCTTCGTAGTTAACAACCGTGCGCCTCTTCCGCTCCCCGGAGTCATCATCACGTTTGTCTACCATGATCGTAGGAGAGCAAATAGGCGAATAGGCTGGTCCAATCCAACCAATGTCCGATAATTTAGCTATTTCCTGTTTGTGGAATGTGAGCTGATTTGGGGTCATACGGTATATCGCAGATTTCGCTGGAAGTTTACCAGGGGCCAGTAGGATATGGTGATTATGAGGGCGCTTCGGCGGTAATCCTTCAGGTAAGTTATCGGGAAAGACTGCTTGATACTCCTGCAACACCTGGATAATCTCACATGGAATCGCCTGCGCCTCTGTCGAATTTATCCATTCTTCGAACAGAGTGTGCTCGAGTTTTGCCATAGGCCAGGGCGACTCCTCTTCACCCTCCGCTGCCGTCAAGGCGGTGGAGGCAAAAGGACTACCCCAGCCGGAGGACGTAGGTTGATTCCCAATTAACGCGCAGCAACGCGCACCTTGCCATTCATCCGAGAACTCTAGGGGCACCGCCGAACCGGCTTAGAGCAAAGCCAGTATGAGATGCAAACCGTGCAATGGTGCCCTGAGATTCTTCGTGTCAGCCGCCGCCTGACGAATGAGCGGTGTGATCGGTGCCTTCGCCTTAGTCTTTGCATGGGACTTATACCTTTTACGTGGTGGGCGTAGGAATATAGCTGCCTCCTCCGCTGACATACCCGCCACTTTGTTTGGCCAATATCTCATATGATTGCTCTGCCGGGGTCCTTCGGTGGACTACCATGGGATTGTCAGCTTGCAGCTTTGCGTCATCAGTCCTAACAACCGGTAACTCGCACCACTGGCCATTCACATAGGTCCGGAGCTTGTAGGACTGGAAATGCCAGGCCACCTTATGTTCAGTCAGCCAATCCAAACCCAAGACTAAATCATAGGGAACGGGTCCCACTAAGCAGTCCCCGGAAAGGCGTGCGTGTCCACATTGCGTCGTCAACCCCGTCACAACTCGATCAATGCGTAATTGTTCACCTGTAGCTACAGTGAACCTATGCTCTTCTGGAAGTCTTCGCACCCTCAGCTGCAATCGTGCGACTGTTTTAGGGTTAATGAAACTTCTCGAAGCGCTTGCGTCTAAAAGTGCCTCGCATGAAGTTCCTGCAAGCTCAACGCGAAATACCGCTGTTGCACCCACGTAGCACAAGGCTCCTCCTTGGTTGGAGGACTCCTTCGTACTAGTTTCCCTCCACCAGTGCGGCATAGTCTCTATCGCTTCTGGTCTGCAGTCTTCTTCTGTCGCTTCTGCAGATTTCCCGCTGCTATTCGCCTTCTCGCACGGAGCTTCTTCACTCCGCATCGGCACCGGCCCAGACTCCAACCGCGCTTCTGAAGGGGGCTGAGTCCCCTGCACGTCCTCATCGCTCATTTTGTTTCCCTCTACCGTGTTGAGGAGGCGGTTCCCCCTCTCTAGGGAGACTGAAATGGCATTAGGTCCTGTCGCTACCGCACACATCAGCCCTTTGTCATGGCTGCCTAGAACGCTCGTCTCCAACCACGCCTAGGCCCCCTTGTTTAATCGTTCCGTTTTCTCAGTGCTAGGACGTGTGGGCTGCCTCCTGCTCCTGTTTTCCGGCTCGGCACAGCCTCATTCGTATGTAGGACAGTCACGAGCATAGTGTCCCACACCGCCACACTTCTTGCAGGTTTCCCCTGGACGTTTGGTACGTTCTCCCTTGCTGGGGCAGACGCGTGCCGGATGTTCACGACCCTGACACTCATAGCAGTTTCCGTGGGTTCCTCCAGGTCGATTTTCGGTTTTCTGGCGCCGACGGGGCCCATTAGCTTGGATAGCAGCTCTAATGGCTCGACTGGTCCTTCCTCGGAGCTCTAGCACGCTCTGCTTGGGCTCGTAGAGGCGTGCTGCGGTTGTCGCCGCTTGTTCCCACGACTGATAATTCAACTGCCCGTTATTGGTGACTAGAAGATGGAGGTCTGTCAGTAATCCGGTGCAGTAGTAGGCAGCGAATTCGTCGGGGGCGACCCCCAAACCACGCTCCGCTACAGCCGCAAACTGGTCCGTGTATTCCTTCGGGTTACCATTCAACAGTAGTTTAGCCAACTCCGTTAACAATTGACTCTGCGACATCGTTTTGTTAAACCGCTCCAAAGGCCTGCGCTGTACCGTCGCCCAGTCGCTTAGTCGATAATTCGCCGTAGATACATCCATTACGTTAGAGCCGGGCCCAAAAGGTGGTCAACAACTGCGCTTCCCCACTTTCGCGGCTCCAATCCCATCTGGGTGCACCGGCGCTCGATGCACAGCAAAAAGGCCTGCATAGTGCTGCTGTCTTCTGGCAGTATGGGAAACGTTGCGCCCCATTCCCCGGTCCCGCCTATAACAGTTCTTATCACACGCATAGCGGACTGGAATTGGTCCCACGTGGCGAAGGGACTGTCCCCTGCCATAACATTGGCCATAGGTATCACCTGTGGGGGCGCCTTTTTATGCCCATGCGGCTGCTCTGCCACGGTCGGTTTCGGAGTAGTATGACGATGATGGGCCAGTGTCCTGCTCGGCATTTTGCTTACTGGCATTGTAGAAGTCTCCTGTTGTGTGGGGCCGATAACGCGTCCGTTGTGTAAATGCATCCCTTACCGAACTAAGATGCCTAGCTGTGAATCATTTAGCCAAAGTGTTTCTACTCTCAGGCCCGCAAAAAAAATTTCATTGCGGATCAGCCCCCAAACGTAGTGCACAGCAGCTTCAGCGGCAACCACGCTGCTGCCTGGCCCACAAATAGGGCGCCCTATGAAAAACTTTCTGTCTTCGACGCATCTCTCATGAAACAAATACACAAATATCAATAATAGCAGCCATTTTTCCATGTCTGAAATCGATTTTCCTTGAAAGCCCCCAACTCAGGGTTCTTGCCTCCTTGGCCCTGGGGCCCTGGGGGCTGGCGGCCCGCACCCGTGCCGGAGCTATCGCCAACCCCAATCTTCAGCTATTCACAGACACGTCTAGTTTACATATGCTAATTTGCTAATAAATTGCCTTACTTCGTTACTACTAAGACGTTCCTGTCTCCGTTCAGCGTGTTAACCTCATGAAGGTCACCAGCTCGCTATCTTAAGGTGACCAGCAAGCGATATTGTAGTGCCTGCTCACTACAACTGCTGTCCAATCTGCAATCTTAACACCCTACACGACTACAGTACACACTTAAGCAAAGGCAAAATACTTATAGTCAAAATCTGGGAGGGTCAGCGAATACCTTAAATAGAATCGATATTTGTTTATAACGCTTGTTCCACTAGCGTGCACAAAATTCTTGCCCGTAACTGCAACGCAGCCACACCCAAACCCCGCCACTGTAGCGGACCGAGCAGGGTCTGTATCAGGCTTCAAAGCCCTGTCCTATGTATTTGATGCAGAAATTTTGTATTGTAGAGGGCCTTATTCAGATTTGCGTAGCCACCCAATACAACTTTCGTGGTTCGCCCGGATGAGCAGCACTAATGTAATTGTGCCTAAGACTTTGGGCCCGGGACGACAAAGGGCACCAATAAACGCCTTAACTTTCGAAATTTTAAAATGAATGGCCGGCATGTTACGCAAATCTTGAAAACAAAAACCTCAAGAGAAACACTCCAGCGTGTGATCAGAAGCTCACAGCCAAACGAGCAAAATGACTTATCTTTCAGAACGCTCTAGCACAAGGACAAATTGCCGCTCAGTGCCTTTCAGAATTCTCGCGTTTCCCTCAATAGATGTAATTAAAGTATTTTGAGATTAAGCGCATTTTATGAGCAAGATTTTAGCTTGGTCTGCATGAGACCATGTTCACTACTGTTTGTTGAAATAGCGCGGCTAGCCATATTTAAGAGCCACCACATAGCAGCGTTTCTAATTGTTAGCTCAGCATCGTTCCTAGCATTCAGCATAACCTTCGGAACTCCAGGTTACTATATTATTTATTCTTTCTTCATCGCGAGTGCAGAGGAACAAAGCTGAAGGGTCCGAGTAGTCGGGTTAAAGGAAGCTCTCGGCATCGGCATTGTGGCTGGAAGTTCAGTGCAGATAGCCGCATACGGAAAAGACAGTAAAACGGTAGACTTTAAATTTTGATATTTAAATAAAAGTGAGACAAATTTTCACACTTTTACGCAACCAGAGCATTGCCAAGCCTGGTTTTCTGCGTGCTGGACCTTCAAAACTATCAATCAGAGCGCCTTCAGAACGACTGGATATTACCAGTACAGGTTTCACTCTCGAAGATCCGTGTAGCTTGAAATTGTTTCGGAGTAGTAGTTTCGGTACCGCATTTAGAGGCAGAGAGGCAACTTTGTAGAATTATTGTGGCTCCAAACCACAGTCCTTCAACAACAACATCTTGGCCCTGTGCCGGCAGGCTCATGCGGCCAAAAATATTGCGGCGTCCAAGAACGCGCTGTTGGCTTTCAAGACTTTCGAATCTGATGTAACCCGTCCAATGTCCCTTAGTCAGGAAATGCAGTCAACGAGGACTTCAACTGATTTAATCCGCTATCTGCGAGGCGCCGAGATTGGCAAAGTGCCGCATATCAGGGAGGCAGAAACAGCAAATACACAAACTAGTTGGCCTGGTATGTTGAGCAGAGAACATGTGGGTTTAGAAAGAGATATAATGCACTCCAACCAAGGCAGATCACAGCACTATACCGTAGTTAAATGTACATATGGGCTCCCAAGAAAGCGCACAAATTGTTCGTGCACGTGGAGATGAAGTGTAGTGCACAGCGCCTACTGCTGCGACTACGCTGCTACCTGGCCCAAGAATAGGGGCCTATGGAAAACCTTCTACCTTCGACGCATCTCTTATGAAATAAATACAAAATGTATCATTGAGTGTAGTCATCTTCTCACGTCCTTAAATCCATTTTTCTTGAAAGTCTCCCCACTCAGGGTTCTTGCCTGGTTGTCCCTGTGGGGAGGAGGCCTGCACCGGTGCCGGGGCTATCGCCAGCCCCAATCTCCAGGTATTCACAGACACGTCTAGTTTTTACCGGCTAATTTGCTGATAAACTGCCTTGCTTCGATGCTACTAAGAAGGTCCTCTCCTCGTTCAGCGTTTTGACCTCTTGTAGGTCGCCAGCTAGCTGTCTTCTCACGGTCACCAGCAAGCTTTATTGTAGTGTCTGTGCACTACATAAGCCAATATACGCATGCTTGAAATGACCCGTGATACTGCATTATCATTACAAAGCCATCTCTAATAAAAAGTGGCAGCGTGTAAAGATACCAATTTGACAGAGCAGGGACATCATTAGTTAGTTGTGTGGCAGCGTACAAAGATACTCATTTGGCACAACAGGGACATCAGGAGTGAGTTGTTAGGCCTCACGAAATTTCATTGATGGTGGTTCCCGGTGACAGATCACTTGTGGTTTAGCTGTATATATACTCTTGCGCACATATGAGTACTTCGGTTGTAGCGGAGTTTCACTGATGGTGGTTCCCGGTGACGGAGCACTTGTGGTATAGCTGTATATATACTCTTGGGCACATCTAAACACTTCACTTGTAGAAAGCTGTCCACCTGTTCACGTGATACTGCTGGTTATTGATAATCTGCGGGAATGATCTACAGTAAGGAAGGACGTGAATGAAGCCCTTTTCTATTCATCCGAATTCAACTTCTTGAGTAAAGAAGGAAGAATAGGCTTTTCTTTTTTCTGCAGGCCTACAACTCAGCATTTTAGTTTTATCTGGCCATTACTTCTTCGTGGCTCATGCACACCCAAGTCTGGAGTGCGCTAGTGCATAATGAGAATACTTCAGGTAACAGAAAATCGTTTTGTTCATGTGAAGCTTTATAAAGTGCTATACAAACTGTAAACTCAAATGTGTAGCAGAAACGCTGTACATCGTTCCCCACCGCCATGGAACTAGGACCCTATCTCCAGGTCACGCCCTCCCGCAAGTTTACAGTTGGGCACCAGCGCACAACCAACACACTGCATTCATTAAACGAGCACATTCGCCTTGTCTACCCGCAGCTATACAAAATGGGAGCGCAGTGTTCTAACATCACACGTGCCCTACAAACAGTGAGCATCGCTCCCCGCTGCCGTCAGTTCACAGCAACAGGGTTACTCGACCTTCATCCTTTCAATTTCAGCATGCATGAAGGCTAAAGTGCAGCTTTTGGGGCGATTTTCTGGCCAGCTACTCAGTTATTCAAGTACGCAATGTGTTGCTGAGATGTAGGTTTTGTCGTACCAGCCCTATCTGAAGTATTTCATGGGACTGAGTGGCGTTGCTGAAAACCTCAATCTTTAACAGGATTTATAAAATTAGAACTTTATTAAGTAATTGTTTCTTAAGAGTGTTGAGTCTCCAGCGACGAAAAACTCGGCAGACGCAGTGGCGGCTGCAGTGAACACTGTGAGTACACCCCAGCATCTACCTAATCCTTCTGCCGGTTTTTCTTTTCCACAGCCACAATTAATGACAACATCATTTTTACCAGCAATTTTTTCTTGCTTAAGTACTGGTGACCAACGCTCCGTTGCGAAGCCAGTTGTCAGCCGCGTGCCCGGCGGACACCGGCACACGGGATGAAAGGGACTATCACTCGCCAACACCCAAGTACCAAAATGTCTTTGAACTGACTTCAAAAATTGTGTATTTCGATTACATCGAAGGACTTATCATGGAGTTGTGTACGTACACCTCAAGAGGTGTACGTTTGTTTCAGACTTGGGGCGACTTTCGCCTCTTGGGGGGGGGGGAGGCGCAGGATTCCTCTAAGAGGAGGGAATTTCCATGCAAATACGATGGCTAGCAAAGACCTTCCTGTTTTTCGAGGCAGAAAATTAGGCAATTATCGATACATGATTAACTTTTCTGTGTGAGAAGAAACGGTCGCGCCCCACCCGCCAACAAGGGGTGCCTCTGGCAGCAGCTGCTCCTTTCTCGCGCCTACTGTCCATGAAGCGCGACACAGCTCTCGTTTCTGCGGGACATTTTGATATCTATTGCATTTCCTTTATTATTTTGTGATTGTTTCCGAAAAGTGCTCCAGACTACGATGCAGTGACACTCCCGAAGGCACGCCTAGCGCGTTCGGCAGTGCAAGCTAAGAGCTTCCAGAGGGGTTGAACAAGTGGGCGAAAAGCACTTCAATGTCCCTATCTTTGGAATTCCAGATGTTATTTTGATCTGTTTCTGACCTCTAATTGTGGACTCCAGCTGTGTTGTGCTCTGGCAGTCTCAACCCTTTCTCCCTCTGTCACTATTCATTCGTTCATGGCCTGTCTTGGTACGTTTGTTCCTGTACCTTTGCCTTCGGAGCCATTATCTCTGGCCCCACATCCAGTCTTTCGTGTCTTATACTCTCCAGGCTCCTTCCTTGAACTGTAGGCTTCTTACGTATCTCTTACTTGCGGGGAGACTTGGGGTGCAGCGCCGCCCCCATCTTGTCCCCTCTGGTTCTCCCTAAACTATCTGCCTTATGCCTAGACTTACCCCCTTCAGCTCTACGAGCTAGTGAGCCCACCTCTGTGCACTGCAACTTGCCCGTGCCGGGCTGGCTTTGCAGTCGCCAGGAACGTTCGACGGGAGAAGTGTTGTTGCCTTTCCTCTTGAATTCAGAAGCATCTATAAGGGAGTCTCACGCCATTGGATGGCCAGTATACTGTACTCTGAGCTTCTTTGAAGGGCTTAGAGTGTGGCGATTAGCCGCATGCTTCCGTTCCGCATTAGAGAATCACCCCCACACACACCCTTCATTTTGCTGCGAAGAACGTTGAGTACTGAAGCGGGCCTCTTCAGTTGAGTAGGAGGCTTCCGACCTCAAGCTTTGTGAAGAGCAGCATATCCGTTTGGCGGTCGCGGCGTTGCCTGCCGCTAACTAGCCATTTGATTCTTTTTTTCCTCGCCATGCAACCTGCAATGGAAGTTCCTCTGGCCCGAAACTCGGTTACAGCCGGATCATCCGCCTTCCCATCTCTGCCATTTCTCACAGATGCTTATCTTCCAGGGCCGCACTCCGTTGCAGCGGCGCAGCAGCAGCTGCTTCTGTTGCAGCCGGGAAGCACTCCTGAGCACGCAACCGTTCCGTGTGCGGACCGGCTAAGTACAGCAGGGACTGACGGGTGGGCTGATCCCAGTGGGGCAGCTGCCCTGCATTTGTTGGGAGCTCCTCAGGATGGAGAGGTGGGAGACATGCTGTCTGGGGTGCAAGACCCGACTTCGCTTGCGGCGTCGTACTTCGGTTCGTACCTTTGCTCGCCGTCACTGGAAAACCCACAAACGCCTACAGGCTTAACGTCGCATTCTGTTTCACCAATTCATTTAGCCACTAGCCCCGAGGCAGGGAACGGCAGCTTTGTCAGTGCAGTTCCTTCTGCGGGATTTCCTTTGTATTGCGGGCCATCCTTTCCTTTTTCACTACCGAACCCAGCTACTTATGGAGTCTCGCAGGATGGGACTACCGCGTCCTCAAACTCAGCGTGGGCCATGCCGCAGCCCACAGGAACGCAGGATACACAGGGATTTGCGTCTGATTATGACAGACTCACGAGAGAGTTGGGTAAATACTGCGCGACTTTGCGGGATCTTGTGACGGACAAGTAAGTGTGAACTAGTGACTGTCGCCCACAGTATTTAGCCATCTTCCTAATTTAGTTTTGAGCCAGGAGTGTAATAAGCGCTCCTGCACTTTTCATGTAACGAGGAGAGTGCTACAAAAAGTATGTAGGATTGGTGTCTGTTACTCTTTTCGTTGAGGTCTCTTATAACGATTCGCTGTGTGTCTTAATTTGTGCTGTTTTAAATTCAGTCCGTCGTTTTCTGACGAGCTAAATTCCACCCTGGAAACGGCGATTCGGTCAGCTGATCAAGTGACTCACGTGCAGCGAAAGTTGCTGCTCTCAGCAAGTCAACAGAAACATCTTGTTGCCGACAGCAAACTTATTCACTCCAAGGTGCAGATGCTTCACCGAATTCTTAAAGCAAGTTCCCCTAAGTATAGCCAGTGGCTTGAGGAACATGCAGTTTTGAGGGACCACATAGAACAGCTCGAACACCAAAATGGGAATCGTGTGGGATCTGGGTGTCGGATAGGAAATGAAAACGCCACCGATAGCTCACGCAGTTGTGTCACAAGCCGCCGCCGTAGCAGCAGCAGCAACAACAGCAACAGCAACAGGCGAAGAAGTATTCGGCAGTACAAGCGGCAGCAGCATGCGCCACTCACGGAGACCCCAGAGGGATTGCTTTTTCCTGTTGTCAAGACGGAGGGGACACCAAGCTGCGCCTAGCTCACCTGCACTTGTCAATTGTTAACTCGGCTTTTTTGTGCAGTCGAGAAGGGGAAGTATGTGCCCCCCGGCGCTCGACCGTCGAGACGCCGAGTGTTTGAGCGTAGAGTTTGCACCTCAGGTGCAAGAGGGACAACAAGTGCACACCAAAGCGGGGATCGGGGTGCTGAAGATACAATATTTGCGTTTGTCATTGCGGCTAAACTTTTGGAGGTGGCAGTGTGCCTACTTAGTCCACCTTCAGCTGGGATCGATAAGAGGCGATTTTTGCGGGAGTTAATTATTTGGAAAGTAGCCTTTGTACAGGGTTACTTCGGCGCTGTACTATGTGCTAAATCTCTTGTACGGTGGAGTTTTAGCCTGACAGCCGGTGGGAGCCTGGAGGTTGCCGAGGGATCTGTTTTTTGTTTGTGTGGTTCTATTCCCGTGCGTGAATAGGGATCTATATCGTTGCACAAGCACAGGACATTTATGTGCCTCTGCAGAGCACATGCAGTGAGAGCTCCTGGTTCGCGTTTGTTGTTTTCAATTCCCTTTCGCATTTTACATGCTTTAATGTACATGGAGGCCTCCTGGAGCGAATTTGCTTGCTGAAGAAGGGGGCTCCTGCTCGTTGCGCCTTGACGGCGCCCCCCGCCACACATATTCCTTAGACATTCAATGTTTTGCATGGTAGCTCTGCCGGGACACACAGAATACCGGGCAGAGTCTTGTATGGCAGCGTTCACCACACGCTGATTCCATGTGCCTTTCGGCAACTTCCTAATTACACCTTGCGTCTTTAACTGTCTCACGGCGCCGAGCAAATGCTAGGGCGCCAGGAGGCTGATCTGTGGGGCCCATACAGTCTCAACTAACCCGGCCCCGTCCAATGCGTTCATAACCGTAATTTTTGTTCATTTGCTGTCGCTTCGTTGTCTGCATTAAGAATTTGCTGCACTTCAACGTTCTTATGGAGAGTAGTAACGGTGAGCGAAGCTTGGTGGCTTGAAGAACAGCAGGATTGCATTTCCATTGACACGTGAGCAAATACGCCTACGACGAAAAGTTCACTGCTCAAAAGTTTTGCCCTCGAATGCGCAACGCATAGATAACGCCAGATTATGTGGCAACCGCGCGATAGTAGATGACCACTACCAATCGAGGGTACTATGGAGCGAGGTACTGTTTTCCGCCCAAATATTTTATCTCAGCACGGTGTTGTCCGCATACAGGAGGCCAAAAGTCGAGAAAAGGCATGTTGCCCCTATTCCAAGAACAGGATGGAAATCGTCTAGTGAAGCGCGATGATGTAACCGAATGTGGCAATTCATTTGGGCTGACTAGAGGATAGCGTTCCGTTGATTCTATTCTGCTAGAAATGGCACGGCAGTTTGCTGTTTGTCCATATTACTATTCGGCATTAGAGGACAAGAAAGAGTCGGGCAGATAATCAAACGCACCATGAGATTAACGAAGAGATTCGCAACAATGAGAGCATGTAGAGAGCTCGACATGGAGGATAGTACTGAGATTAATGCCGTGGATGTCGCTGCCGTCCTTTCTGTTATGCGGAAGAACAGGCAATCGAGGAGCGTGTTTCTTACGTGCAATCATAAGGCCGTCAAGCTCACGAGAACTGACCTAATTTGCAACAGACTCATTGTCGAGTCACCTGTTTTGAAGCCACCCCTAGTAATTCCGTTCGCCTTCGTGGATGCGCTTCTTCATATCCTCACAACGGCAATAATTATTTGTTTCAGTGTGTACCACGTTATTAGTGGGAAGGCTATAAAGTCTTAGCTTAGCTGGTGAGTTACCTGCTAGAAAAGCGTATGGAATATCGCCAAAAGGCAAAATCATCCAGTGCTGCTAATTGACTGGCATGCAGCTACCCGTGGTGTGGTTCGTCTAACCTTCTCACGAAGCCAAGACGGAGGGTTTACTCTCAACTGGAAACACGAGAACCAACTTGAGTGCCGGGAAGGGCATTCTCTTTGGCTGGGAGTGAGCGTTTCTTCCAAAGTAGAAATACGTTTGCTTTGTTTGCTTACGGCCGCATTCCAACGTCTTATGGTGCAGACTGTGCAAAAGAGGCCCGTAATGTCTTACCCTGTTATCTTGTTTGACTTCCCACATGGCACCTGCAGAATATGGTTCATGTAAAACCGAGCTAGACGACAACGGACCTTGTCTAGTAAAAAAGAGCAAGGGTTTGGGCGTATCGCGCATTTTGACCCTGCTAGCCGCACTCTTCGTCGAGCCTAGCTTCCTAAACACAGCTTACCATTCACATCGTTGTGAACATTTCTGCCAAATCAGAATAAATCACTTGGAAGTCTAGAAGACGCAGGAGTGTCGCTTTTGTAGAGATGTCAGGTGTAGCTCTTGGACACATTAGACTGTGGCTTAATGTAGTTGCCTCACAAACACTTTTGTAAGCAATCAAATTACACAGGGACCACGTCCACAAGCATGCAGGCGCTCACGCATGAAAGCAAGTGATGTTAGAGGCGTGCCTTCCTTCGGCACAGTAATAGAGATAATGCCAAGGCCAAGGAAACTTGAACAGGTCGCTCTTTTGAAATTGAAATCGCCCGTTCTTCCACGATTGTTATGTTTTACTGTGACGTTGTTAGCCTAGCCAAAGGACTAGTCAGTGCGACTCCAGTGCGACTTCTCGTAAAAAAAATCTAACGTGGCCTGAACTACTGAGGAGGCCCAGAATCGTCTGGGCCTCAGTGGTTCAAGCCGCATTGGTTAGTCCTTTGGCTAGGCTAACAACGTCACAGTAGAACATAACGATCGTGAAAAAACGGGCGGTTTCAATTTCAAAAGAGCGACTTGTTCAAGTCTTTTGCCTGTGGCATTGGTAACTCCAAAGGCTCAATATTAGGTGACCGGGGAATTTTACAAAAATTGGTCGTGTTTTCTTTTCAGACGTACAACTGCTCTAGTGAAATGTAGAGGCGGTAACCATCGGTAATACACTTTCGTGTTGTTTTTGCTACAGCACTAACAACATGACGTATTCCAGCGGACCAAAACCACCATTCCGCCTCCGGGACTCGCACCCGGGTCGCGCGGGTTAGAGCCGCGTATCCTAACCACCTAGATTACGACGGACTGCAACCGGCCCCCTCTCTCACTGAATTACTCAAGATAGCACTGCCTCTCAGGTAACCAGAAAGAAGAAGCTAGGAAACGACTACCTGGGGGTCCTTTACCGTACTTTCCCACACTGAAGAGGTCCTTGTTCGGCCTGGTAACACAGAGCGGAAGAATGAGTATTCCCTACACCTGCTGCGGTCGGTACATGCAACTTAAAAAATGATATGCAGGCAACCTCTGTTGTTGTTGACAGTTCCCCAAATTCTTTCTTGCGGCGTTCCACTCACAAGGCTGTCTCCTGCGTGTAGACGTGATTCATATACAGCAGCGCGAAGTCTCTGCCACTGTGAAGCTCCGAGTTAGCAACTAGCAGCCAAAGTCCCAAACTGCATGAAAGCTAGCCAATCAACAAACACTTGAAAAGGCACAGATGAATGCAAGCGAGTTCGCTGTATGTCTGTTGCCCATAAGTAAAATTAAAAATGACCTGCAGAGCTCTAAAAACCGAGAAAGCTCCTTGAAAGCAGAAGGAAGCGGCTTTCTCAGCCAGCGTTTTGCGGTCAGAAATGCCGCAAGCTGAGCGATGTCTCGCCGAGAAGTCGGTACAACAGAAGAAAACGAGAAGTGCTCCCCAACACTAGAGGACGAATGCGGAGGCGTGGATACGGTTTCTGACTCAAAGGCTTAGTATTTGCCGATCTCGGTTACTAGTATGGAGTAAAGGGTGTCAAAGGCTGCAGCGGGGACTTGGAATATGGGTGCTCGACGTTTTCTTCACTTCCAAGGGCGCTTGCTTTCATTTGTTGCCTCTTGGCTGCTGCTTGAGCCCTTCTGTGCTGGATTTCAGCCCACCTCTGGCGATGCCGCTGTTGTGCCTCTTGTGTCCTTCTCTTCTGCTTTCTTTGAGTCTGCGGCTGCGGGCGGGCGGCCTCGCACTTCTTCAAGCTGTAAAGGTTTGATAGAACGGCCTCTGATGACAGGGGCCTCGCAGCAATCAAAGCATCGAGCAGACTCGGGTCTGGAGGCCCTGCGCACTGTGCAACAGTGGGATGGCAGGAGACTGATGGCCCTAAAATAACGTCTTGAACCTCTTCTGTGTCATCCGCGCCCCTGTAGTTGCTATCACTGCGGTTGCAGGAAACCTGCTCTGAAGTTGGAGCTGAAGATCTTCCTAGTTGCTGCTGGTGTTGTTGCGCCTTGCCAAACCCTCCGGCTTGCCCCTGAGGGGAACTTCCAAGTGCCACGGAAGAGCCAAAAGCCGGTGGCGCCTCACAGCCACAGTCAGATATCTCTCCTTCCTCCGCGTCAGAGCCCTCAGAAGCTCTAGGAAGTTCTGCTGGTCGTAAGGTAGACAAGCTTGAGGTACCCTGCACACGGCAGTGGGCCGCGCCAGGTGCTGCAGAAGAAAGGGAAGCTTCTTGTATGTTTACGCTTCTGCTGCTTTGTTTCGAATGGCGCTGCTGCCGGTTTTGCTGCTTCAGCTGCTGCTCCTCCTGCGTCTGCTGTCGGTCACACCTTCTTAGACTGTCCCCCAAAAATTCTGGATCTGAATCGCCCGATGCTCCTGGGGCCACTGGATCACCCGTTGCAGCGAGTTCTACAGGGTCTACTCTATGCTGTTCGATGAGCGGCATGAGAGACGGTAAAGATAATGCATTTAGAATTGCGATCGTTTCTTCTCTCTCCTTCTCGTCAAGGCCCGTCAAGGCCTCCAAAGTCTCTGAAGATAAGCCCGGAACAGCCATAGAGCTATCATTTGACAGCCGTGAGTCCTTCGCTGTTGCTCCTCCTGTTGTCAGGATGGTCTCTCTGGAATTCGGAGGCAGCAGAGGAGGTGGCGGAGGAGGTGGGAACAAAGCAGTGGAAGGCGTCGTGGGGGGCGCCGCTGTCATTACTGCTGGTCCTTGGGGAGGCGGAGGCGGAGGAGGTGGCACTGAGGCAGTTGGCTCTGGAACGCCTGAAGTTACAGCAGTAGATATTTGAACCAATGCTTCATTCTCGGCAGTACCCGGCACCGCAGTCGCTACAGTACCGCCTTCACCTCTATGGCTTCCACGCTTTCGCCTGCTTTGATGCGTACCTGTTGCTGTGGCCGCACCAGCAGGAGCAACAGCCGTGGCTTGGTCTGTTGAAGTTTCAATCATATCGCCCGGGGTCTTTCGCCTTTTCTCTCCTTGTAGATTGCCAAGAAACTCCATCTCCCGACGATGCTCTACCGGATATTTTCTGGGAGAATTCTCATGCTCGTCAAAGTGCCCTTGCTGCTGCTGTTTTTGGGATTTACTTCCGTGCAGTCTACGGGCCAGAGTATTCAAAGTCGCTCTTTCAGATGAGGGCAGCAATGCAAATGCTGGCGTCGCAGCCGCTCCAGTTGTCGTGAATATTGTTGCTTCTTCTCGTGTCGCCACTGATGTTGATTCTGAGTAGCAGCCCGCAGCATTGCTGAAAGCTTTTAGTTTTTCTCCCTCGCAGTGTTGCTCCATCAAGGGGCCTTCCAAAGCCTCCTTGCGCGGCAATTCAATTTGGCCGTCCTGATTACAGACGAGGGAAGAAAGGAGATCAGCAAATGCTTGAAGATCTCTGACAGAAGCAGCAGCAATATGCTGCTGCTGCTGCTTCAGTGTCTGCTGTAGTTCAAACTCAACTGCGGCGAACACTTGCTGTGCCCGAAGTAGCAGTGGCTGCAGCAGCCACCAGTTGCTAGCAGAGGGACAGCAATTCCGGCCCTTCTTTCCATGTTCTTTGTTTCTGCAGCTATTGTCATCTTTCTTGCCGCTGCTGCCGCTGTTGTTGCAAACGCTTGCTGGACGCGGCAGAGCTCCCGTGTAGCATCCACTGTTTCTGGGGGCCCCAAGGACCCCCGAAGATCTTTCTGGTGAGTTTTCGTTCATGAAATACGCGCAAAGTTTCCTTGCTCTTTTTCGTATAGTTGGGGCCCGCACTGCGTCCAGCGTTGGTGCTTCAGCGGGGCCCCCGAATCCCGTGCGCCTTGTCCCTTCGAAGAGGCGTTTGTGCTTACCAGAAATGAAGCCTTGCCACTAAAGCGTTACTTGGTCCAGCGCAGCTAATGCGGCAGCTTCTCAGAGACCACGCGAAGAAGTCCCTCGGGGGGCCTCTGGAAGGTAGGAGGCTGCGTAGCCACAGTTGACCCAGAAGGGTAATTGGGTAGAGAGCTGTGGCTATCACCTGCTGCCTCTTATAAGATCTGACGCCACTTACGCGTTGCAGAAACGCCATATAAAAGGAGAGTCAGTAAGGTGGATTGGCGCAGCCGAGAAGCCCCAACTGGCTGCTGGGGGCCCCTCATGGGGGCCCCCCGATGTCCTGGGCTACCATCCTACTTGCATCTCACCCTACTGTAGTGGCATTATCCATCCTTCTGTTGCTGCTCAAGGAACAAAGGACGCTGCAAATACGCTGCTGCGCAACTAGTAGCAGCAGCAGCAGCAGGAACGGCGAGAGCAGCAGCAGGAGGCGCAGCAGCCGTCCAATATGATTTTCGATAAATAGCAATCCCCTCATATAGACGCAGAAGAACATATGTGTTGAACAACTTTTGGAGTTTCTGTCCGCCAGGGACACCTAAGGATCACCAGGGTCACCTTCCTGTCTAAGATGCTACAGCGAGCGTGCCCCGCCGCGAAATATTTCAAAAATTCCCTCAGCTGGCCCATCGCGAGCACTCAGAGGGGCTTTCACAAGGAGTTTTGTGGTTCCGTGGCTAATAATGACGGCCAACGCCACAGTGCGATTATCTCCGCAGCAGCAGCAGTAAACGCTAAAGCAGAGGAAACAGCAACTTCCCGCACCATACACAAGGTCCATGCTGATTGTTCGAGCGCAGCCTTGCAGTGCTGTGCTGTTCCACCATCAAGAAGAGGACAACGCGTCAACAGATATGACTACAGCCTGCACGATTCGCGGGTACAGATATCTTTTCTACGCGGTGGGCCTAGCGTCTTTGAAGCATCAGAAGTCTCATTACAATTCCCGAATGATGGCCTCTCAAAAACTTCGCACGGAGAGAAACCGGTGGACTGCGCAGCAAGTGCAACAAGAGCGGCCGTCACAGCCGCAGCATCCTTTGCAAGAACTGCACCGATAAAGGGCAAATGCAACGGAAGCCAACGCGAGACCTCGTCCTCTGAATCAAACGTGAGAGAAAGTTCTTTTTTAAGGCCCCATATCAGGACCTCTTCTGCCGCTGCTCCAGAGGTTGTCGCAATCGAGGCATTGCAGGCGCGATGGAGGCTGCTGCGTCAAGTCGCAAAGCAGCGAAAGGTGCTATCGCGGAAAGCAGCAGAGCAACTTCCTGTTCTGTTGGAACAGACAGACGCCGCTATTCAATATGCATCTGGAAGGGCCCCAACCGCGCCCATGGGCGCAGCGACAGCAGCAACGGCGGCAACAACTGCAGCCGTATCTGTAGATGCAGAGGCAGTGGGTCCCATGGAGCCCTTTGTACGACTCAGCTTGAACGTGTTGACTTTTGCTGCCGTCTGTCTAGAGAGGCACGTGAAGGAAGTCGAAGGAACACGAACTGCTGCTGATGTTGCAGAATCGAAGCTCTGCACAGTGCATCAACTGCCTCTAAATACCCTGCTGCCACAAGCACAACAGCAGCGCGGCAGCAGCCTCAGCAGGAACAGCCAGAGCAGCGTTGCCAACGCGAGCGTCCCTTCCCAGGCTATATATATGCCTGTTTCGTTGTTACTGGGCACAGCGGAGGTTGTTTTGAGGTGGCTACAACGGCAGCAGCAGCTCGTAACAGCAGGAAGCACACGCTTGGAGATGCTGCAACCAACAGAGGCGGCTGCTTTTCTGCGATCTTTTTCGTTGCTAATTTGCCACTGTGTTCCACTGCATCACTTCCAGCCTGCAGCAGCAGCAGCTATGATTCCGTTGTACATTCGCATGCTGCAGCAGCAGCGCACGTTGCAGCTTCCGGTCGCCCTGAGCACATGTAGGGCCTTGCTTCTACTGGAGCGATCTGTCAAGTCTCACGAAGAAGAACAGCACCAAGCCTTTTCTGCGTATAACTTTGGTCCTAGACGCGGCCGGAAGTCTGAATCTCACCAGCATCAGCAGCTGCCTTTAGAACAACCTTTGGTTTCCTCAGTATCCACAACGTGTGAATGCGACACTCATTACCGTCAGTCTTGCAGACTCTCCCTTCATGAATTGTATGCACATCTAGATCGTGCGATGCTGAAGTTTCTAAGCAGGCACATTTCCCCTCCTCCAGAATCTGGAAGTGTTACAGCTCATCTGCAACAGCAGAGACAGCAGGGAAAAGGCGAACCACAACAAGAGCAGCAGCATGGGCAAGAGCAGCACGTGAAAACGGGTGCATCGAACCACATCCTTTCAGGTGCTCTTATGGAGGGCGTACAGCTTTTGCTGAGGCCTACTGCATGTGGTACAGTGCGGCTAGCGATTGGAGAAGAGCTGCTTCAACTACTGCTAGTGTTACAGAGAGATCCCAAAGCTTACATGAGGCAGCTGCTGCATGTTGGTGTAGACGAAACATCGCTGCTGCAGGAGACACCGTCTCTTTGCGCAGTTGCCGAGGCAGCACGCTGCGTTTCTAGCTGGAGCGATCCAGCCAATAAACTGGTCAGAAGCAGTAGAATCAGCTGCAACATGGGAAGGCAGCAGCAGCTGACGCTATCGGGCTTGCGGCGCGGCTTGCTACGGGCAACGCGTGGTGCTGTCATCTCTCTACTGTTTCCTGCTTTTCACCGCTGCGATCCTTCTTCGCAACCCTCTGGAAAAAGCCAGCACCAGCAGTCACAAGAGAAGCAGATGCGGCAGCTGCTGAACCGGCTGCATGCCGTGGCAGTTCTCGCAGAGGTATACGTCCACCAGGAGGTGTGGACACGGCCCATCGCTTGCGCGCTACTGTGGGAGGCGCTTACGTTGTTGCGGGATTTTCAGCGCAAATTAGCGCTACCTGTACTCGCCGGTGTGCTTGCCGGTGTGCAGCAGCAACTGACGCCGTTAATCAGCCCTCTGCTGAAGCTTGCAGACCATTTGTGTTTGATTTCTTTTGTTCCTGGACGCCAGAATTCAGCAGCAGCAACAGGAGTAGCTGAGGAAGAGCCCACTTTGGTGCAACAGGCAACCTTTTTCTTTGAAGGATCATCGGCTTTCCTTCTGGGGCTGTTGCGCGAGTTAGCTGCGGAGCAGCAGCACTGGCTTTTGAAGGAGGCAGCTCTATGGGATTCGCTTTCTCAAAAGCAGCGGCAACAGAAGCCACTCTGCCAAAGCAGACAAGAGCACCAGCAGCATAGGCAAACATTACAGCAGCCGCTACCAGGTCAGGGACAGCAGATGTGTGCTGTGGCAGCTGCTGCCGGCTGCATCACGTCTTCGCTGCTAAGGGCCTTTGGAGGTCCCGATGCAGGCGCAGCAGCGCTGGTTTACCTGCAGCTGCAGCAAGCACACCATCACTTGTCTGCGCTGCACGCAAATCCTTCATTCCAGCAGGCCCTTCTCAGCTTGCGTGATCAGTGGAGGGAGAGACAGCAGCAGCAGGAACAGCAACAACAGCAACACCGCCAACACCACGAGGTCAACAAACGATGGAGAGACAGCACGGACCCCTGGTCCTTGATGAGCCGTATTGACTTCGCCTTCGGCTCATGGCTGCAACAACAGCAGCGACTTCTACTGAGACAGGATATAAAACAGGAGCAGCAGCGGTCTGCCGCTGCTGCTGCTGCTTCTGGAAAGCATCTTCGAGGGTACACGCTTTGGTACGTGCCGCTTTTAGCCACGGACGGCAAGCAGGAGCACTTCCATCCTCAAAGGATGAATCACGAGCAGCTTCTCCTTCGCCAGCACCCATTTGCACCGGGTGATTGGAATACAAGGGAAGAGGCCAGAGGCGCACATGACTGCAGCAGTGGCAGTTACAGCTGCATCTGTAGCAACGTGCTATGGGAATCCTGTTTACTCCAGGAGAGCTCAGGCCTTCTGGCTTCTGCAGCACCCGCGGCCCCTATCGCTTTGCACCAGGCAGCCACAACTCAACAACTATTGCAATGGACACAGCACGAAGGGCAGGAGCAACTGAATTCCCAGGGACAACAACGTTGCCAGGAGTTTTCAGTTCCCCTAGGCTCGTGCCTACGGCTACTGAAAAGGAAGCTCTCCCTCCAGAGCGCTGTGTTGCATGCAGAGGCTCCAATGCTGCAGCCGTATCGGAACTCCGATCAGCAACTGCTGCAGCTGCTGCAGCAGCACTTAAATCAACTGCAAGAGCAGTTGAAGCATGCGCAACAGCTCCAGGGTGGGTTAAAGGAGGTCGCCGACACGAATGATTATATGGAAAACAAGCAGGAGCCTCGAAAAGAGCATTTGCAGCTGCCACTCCCTGAAGCAGCGCTAAGAATTCAGTGGCTGATGCAAGGCGCTGCGTACGCGAAAGCAGGAGCTTTCAAAACGCCTCAACAGCTTCTTTTGTTGCTGCAAGACGTGGGCTATTTGTTGTGCGAAGCGCAGGCTGTTTTGGAGCGGCGAGTGCGTGCTGCGGGAGCAGGCATGCAGGAATGCTCTGATGCTGCTGGATTCGCGCATGCACCAGATAGAGGAAAACGTACAGAGTCGACAGGAAGTATGCCAACAAGCCAACGGACCAGCGTTGCAAAGGAAGGCGACTTCACGAACAGTTCAGGTCAAAATAGCACAAGCAAGAGCAGCACTGAAGGACAGAGCAGTAGCAGCAACAGCAGTGGCCCTATGCCCCAATTGACAAGCATACAGGTACGCGTCGGATGCTGCGTTGCAGCGGAGCCTCTGTTGGGCCCTCCTTCAGAACTGCTTCAGCTGCTATCTCTGTTCCAGAGCCCTTTTTGGCTAGGCGAGGCGATCCCCGCTCTTGCTGCTG